AGAGAGAGAGTTTTGTGGAACAGAAAAAAAAACAATATTCTTTGCAACCTTGACTCATTTTCAAAACCAAAACTGCTCTTGTTCAAAACAGAAACACAACTCATTACTCAACCATACAAACTCTCCTTTAAACCAAACAACTCATCACATGCAAAGGTGGTCCAAAACATCACAAAAACAGTTCATGTATTGTTATTCATCTCCATCTTTAAAACACCAAAAACATTACAGTAATCCAACATAGTTCTAGCAGTCTAAAGCAGCTTCCTGAAGACTTACAAGGTTATCACATCATTTGGAAAAACATTCAGATCTAAAACAACCAGCGCAACCCAAAGGTAAGTCCTCTTGACTTGATATCTTGTCATTACATCATTAACAAGCTTTTGTTCTTTGAAAACAAGATGTAGTATTTTAATATCTTTTTGAACTAGTCATCTGCACTTTGTTTAGGCTTATTCAATCATTTGTTGTTCATGTTTATCCATCATATGCCATAAGCTAACTTGTACATTCAGCAAAATAATGTTTAAGACAGAAAAGTGCAGCATGTATCGACACATATCCTCATGTGTCGACTCATCCTAATGAAAAAACAGGGTATAAATTGACACATAACCCCCATGCATCGACTCATACTGATTTCAGGTTACAGAACAGAAGTGGGAAAAGACTATGTATCGACACATACGCGCTTCGCAACGACACAAGAAGGGTGCATGAGTCGACACATCCCATTATGTGTCGACTCATACTGAGTCATTTTTGTTTTACAAGAGCAGGGAAAAGCTATGTGTCGATGCATAGCAGCATGGGTCGACACATAGTGGTTCAAAATGCATTTCTTCCTATATTTTGCACTTTTTTTACATTATCTTCGTTATTGTTCGATGTGGTTGTAATATTTTAGTTTCTACCTCATCCCTATTGTTAATTTGTACCCCCCATCCCTCTAAAATGACGTAATAGCTTAGATTTTATTTTCCTCATTTTTACTTGCTTTTCATATATGGTTAGTAAAATAGGATGTATGACAAGATGAAAACTAACAAGTAGCTCACCAAAAATCAAAGACAAAATGCATGCAAAATAACACACTCGCACACTAACACCTCTAGGGTAATCTCACTTTGTCGCCTTTCGGAAAATAGTCATGTCCCTCAAACATGGGCGTTTTAGCAAAAGACCTTTGATAAAAGATCGTAGTCCCTTGATGACCCTCGATGTTGCCTTCGGTAAACGATCTAGTCTCTAAAACGACATTGCTAAAACGTCCCATATGTTGCCTTCTATGACTATACAAACGTCCCAACGTCCGTCCCGTTTATATCCAAAGATAGGGTTGCTTACCAAATCAATGGCAAGACAACAATATCAAAGGAATAGAAAATGCAAAGAAAGACATTTTGAGTAGGTAGATAGCTTCTAAGTTACTTGCTCCATCTCAAACAATAATCCTTGCTATTTTCAAAACAAACACACACACACACACACACACACATTTCAAAAACATCTTACCAACAATTGAAAACATTTTTAAAAAAAAGACAAATATCTTTGTATACATTCTTACGAATGAGAATCATTACAAAGATTGCCTAAACGAGTGGCCTCTTTTACAAAATACTTTCAAAATCACACCAAACACCATTTCAAACAAACCAAAGCAAGTGATCTAAGCAAGTAACTAAGAGCCCATGGAAAACCATGGATGAAAAGGGTGCTAGCACCTTCCCTTTTCATAATCTACCCCCCGAACTCAAGAAAACATCTCTAAAGGTCTTTCCTGTGCTTTTTCACCTTTCCTTTTGGATAAAAGAAAAGTCGGTGGCGACTCTTACTAACCGCAACATTTGTGATAAAACGCAAAACCTCAAGTCCGTTCTCTCACCGTATCACAATTGGCATCACTGCTACCTCTGATGTCCTCCGGCGTAAGAGATGATGCTCTCTTGTTAACCACTGTTGGAGACGACCTAGGTATAGGGATGTAGTTGGCAGTGAGTATCTGAATGTCAATTGTAATGGAATGTGTGACCTATATTAGTTTTACCAAGACCCCGTGGTGGGAGCCATTGTACTTTTCAAAAAGTACATGAATGTGTGACATCCCTATGTGGGTAGGGAATAACCAGAGGTCTCTAATAACTGATGGTGGTTAGGGCCTGCTCACGATGGTGAGAAACCCTGTTTGATGGTGGTGTTTGGTATGGAGAGAACAAGCTCACGTGACGTGAGAAGCTTTGTGTTTATGCGTGTATACTAAGGATGCAATGATCTATCTTCTAACCTCTAGGGTTGAGGTATTTATAAACACTAAAAGGTGATAACCACTTCTCCTTGATTGGGGAGACTATTGACTGCCTATTTTCTAGGGAGTCATGGTATGACCCTGTTCGTATGGTTAGTGATTGAATAACGGTATTGTACACGTCTTTCCTGAGGGCGAGCCCCTAAAGCCACATAAAAATCACGTCCGAGCAACGCTTCATAAGACAGGGACCTATATGTCTCCCTTATTTAGGGACTCTCACAAATATATCGCTATAGAAATATACAAAAAAAAATTAACTGAGATTATTTTTCAAAAGTAATATATTATGTTTTACAACATCTCTTGGGAGATAACTTTTCTTACAAGTTCTCAATCTTTGATTTTGCGAGAAGAATATGTTAAATTCAAAAAATTTCAAAGACAATAGAATCAATATGTGTTTCATACTATCTCACCGATTTTTGTTTTACAAGTCTTGATAGCGTTAACAACAACAATTTCAATAAAAATATAATATATATATATATATATATATATATATATATATATATATATATATATATATATATATATATATATATATATCATTTTTTCTTTTCTTTCTTATTTTTTGTTCACTTTCATTTGTATCAAACAATTAAATTATGTTTCATTTTCTATTCATTTTTTTCTCTTTCGCATTCTTTTATGGGTTAAATATGTTTTTGTCCTGATAATTATCTCAAATTTTATTTTTGATTCCTATAATAAAATGACATATTTTGGTCCTTACAAATTTTATATGCATACAGTTTTAATTTTTGCTATTTTTTAAAATTTTTAAAATTGTTTAACTATCCTTAAGTTTTTAAATTTTTGAATAATTTTTTTAATACATATTTAGAATGAGAGACGGACCTAAAAAATTTAAATAGTATTTTAATGTCTAACACAATATTAAAACATTAAGAGTGTCATCCTTCACTCAACTTGCTTTTTTATACCGTGGGAGCAACCATATATCAAATGTATAATATAAAAAACAGTAAAAAATTATCATATTAATCTTTAAAATATTTGTTGCATTTTCACTATAATATTTAAATTTAATATAATTATAAAGACATATCAAAATATATGTTTATTATTATTATTATATATCTTGATGAAAGGTTAATAAAATTTTCTTTTTTTAAAAATATAATAAATATTAGGCAAAATTATCGGAGATTTTTTTAAATTATTTGATTGTAACAAGTCAGCCTTTTATGTTTTTTTTCCGTTATATGTGGATTCTTTATGCTAACTAACGTTTACACCGTTGAACTTTTTCTGCTTTACTTTGTTCTATTAATTTTATTTTAATTCATTTTTAACTTCTAAAATTTATATTAAATCCGTTTTTGTCTAAAAATTATGAAAAAATTTCTAAAAAAATTTCTTCTCATTTTACACTTCGCATAATTTTATGAGAATTTTATTTTCTGTTTTACTATTTTTCTTTAATTTTTTCTTTTTGTGTATATTTTAATTAGTTTAAAAATATTTTTTATGCATTGAAAAATACTTAAATTTTTTTAAAATGAAATAATGATAAAATACACATTAGTTTAACGATAAAACTATAATTACTTAAAGGTAGTTTGTCAGTGTAAAGTATTTTACACGGTCAATGTATCACAACCCTTAAAAAAATATTGTTCTGGACTGGGCCTACACTTGACCTAAACATCATACAATGGTCAATCCAACTATGCTGTATGAGAAGGCCAGCAGGAAAGAGTCTGTCCTCGACCATGTCGGGCAGTGATTCCACTCTTCTGGTCGACCAGGCTTTATCGTACGCGGATAAATCCATTAATGGCGAGGAGGACCAATGACGATCAGAAGGACCTCGCGAGCATCCTCCACTCTTCTCGTCGATCAAGATAAGTCCTCCATAGACAACCTTACAACTGGCGAGGAGGACCAACGACGGCCAGAAGGACCTCGCGAGCATCCTCCTCGTAGGGCTGGCTTTCAACACCTCTGAATGTCACAAAGTTTTTTTGAACCGGAAAAGACCGCATCCATATCCTCCTGATAGTTCGGAGGAGTCCATTCAGGTTGAGAACCATGTGCTGGTCCCCACTACACACGTAGGACCTGACAGTCTCCATTTTGGGCCTGCTTGCTTAGTCCAAAAATGGAGACCTTGATCCAACGCTGGAGGCTATAAATATCTCATACTTTCATATTTGCTAGAACTCGTTATGAACCTTACTTTGGCATCAGAGTGTCTTACAAATACCCCTACTTCACATTCAACAGCTGCAACTTAAAACTTGTGGATTTTGACAGTCTCTTCTGATCAGATACGATCAAATACTTTATAAAAAAGTCAAACTTCTATAAAAATTAACGGTTATGATTTCACTAACACCTAAAATAGTGTCGATGTATTTATATTAAATTCAAAATAAAATTATGCAATTTTATAGGAATCAAAAACCTATTTAATTCTTCTTTTATATCACATTTGAGTATTTTATTTAGCAGGGGATTGCGAGCAATTTGATAAAGTTAACGGGGTGAATTTAACTATCGAAGGGAAAAAACTGAGAACATTCTATTTCCACAAGCATCATTTGCCCCCTTCTCCAAGCTTCCAGAAACACCCATTCTCTTCCATCTTTTCCCACAAAACCAAAACTTAAACCCAACGCAACTCATTAACCAAACGCTTCTGCAATCTTGTCAATCTTCAATGGCAACGAGAAGAGCTCCAAAACTAACCAAATCAGTCATCGTCGCCGTAACGGCCTCGAGAACAAAACCCCCTCTCACTACTCCACTCTCCAACGGAACCTTCCATCCCGCTTCAGACAACGCGACGATTCCTTTTTCACCCTCTCGGATTATCAACCGAACTACCAATGTCACCTCCGCTAAGTTCCTTTCCCACTCTTTCACTCGCAATTTTCACGCCTCTAATCCCTCCCACCGCTCCGCCGGAGCTTCTCAGGTTTCGCCAATGCTTTTTCATTCTTTCCTTGATTTCAATTTCTTTATCAATTCAGAACGTGCTTCTGTTAATAAGCACTTAAATATTATCAATTCAGAACGTGTTTTTGTTACTAACCACGTAAATATTATCAATTCAGAACGTGTTTATGTTACTAATCACTTACTAATTTAATTAGATTGCACAGTCGGAGTTCACAGAAATGGCTTGGGAGGGTATTATTGGTGCAATTGATGCGGCGCGAGTCAATAAACAACAAATTGTGGAGTCTGAGCATTTAATGAAAGCACTCTTGGAGCAAAAGGATGGTTTGGCTCGAAGGATATTCACTAAGGCGGGATTGGACAACACCTCGGTTCTACAAGCTACTGATAATTTTATAGCTCAGCAACCTAAGGTGTGTTAATGTGGTTACTGGCAATGGCAGCATACTTTGGTTGATATTCTAGAAAATTCTTACGTGCTGTTTAATTTGGCAGGTTACAGGTGATACTTCTGGTCCTATTGTTGGTTCGCATCTGAGCTCCGTTTTGGACAACTCTCAAAGGCATAAGAAAGAAATGGGCGATGAGTATGTGTCTGTGGAACACCTTTTGCTAGCATTTCATTCGGATAAGAGGTTTGGGCAGCAGTTATTTAAAAATCTTCAGCTTAGCGAGAAGGCTTTGAAGGATGCTGTACAGGCTATTCGTGGGAGTCAAAGAGTAACTGATCAAAGTATGCATTTACATTTTAAGGTTTCTTATTTTTTAGAAAAAATAATGGGAGGGCATGTTTAGTTCTAACTTTTTGAGATATAAGTTAAAATTATTAAAATTATGCATACACTTGAAACCTAATCGTAATAAAAGCATGCAAATGTATTAAGTTTGATATGATGAAAGTAAAAAGACCCATGTTTGCTTATGATTCTTATAAGCTATGGTGTAAATGGGACTAATACCCCAGGTGCGTTATAAACCGACATCATATTTGAATATAAAAGGAACCTGCAATTTTTATCAGTTCCTGTGACTATCGTGCATGTTGACTGTCCTTGTGCTTGATCCTTGATAAGCTTTCAGGCTATGAATCAAAACCTGATTTTGATGCTCAAATCATTAGCTGTTCCACTCTCTTTCTTTTATTGTCTAAGCTATTACTTGAATTATGAAGTTACAGTGAGAAGTTACATTTTGTTTGTACTGGTATCCTTTGTAGTTGCTTTTGTTTGTCAGCAGTTATGAGTAACAATTTGTATTAATATTGTGAAATAACTCTGTACAGATCCTGAGGGGAAATATGAAGCATTGGACAAGTATGGAAATGACCTGACTGAACTTGCTAGGCGCGGAAAGCTTGATCCAGTCATAGGTCGAGATGATGAAATTCGGCGCTGTATCCAGATATTGTCAAGAAGAACAAAGAACAATCCAGTTATTATTGGTGAACCTGGTGTGGGGAAAACTGCTATTGCTGAAGGGTTTGTCTAACATAATTTTATACCAATTCTTTCAAATCAGGACTTCTTCTCAATATTGTTCATTATCTCTGTGCCATATACATTGTGCATATTCTCCCTATATGCGTAGTTTTGACTTTTCACATGTTTGTTAATATTGAGTTAGGGGCTATAGGTCTATATGCTTAGAATGCATCATGTTCATGTATTTTAGATTCCCGATTTATTTGTCTCTTATTCTTTTGCCGGTAAGATCCTCTCTTGAATATAGTCTTTCCCAATAGAGTGACGTGTGCATTGTTTTATCAGAACATAATGGTTTGATTACCAAGGAATTTTTGTTCTTTTGTGCCACTTTCTAACACACGTTTATAATGTCTTCCTTCATTGGAATTATGTCAAGTAATCAAAGTCTTGAATCATGGTTTCATCCTTAAGCATGCAATATGTTCTGAATTTTCTGATACATACTTTGTGTAATTGTAATGAGCTCTGGCCATGGAATGTATGGATTGCAAGCACATAACATGCTTTTGGAGTAGTATTTTAATCAAACTGCTTCAAGTTCTAACAAGGTTGAAAAAAGTGCAACAATTTGAATATACGTGATTGATTTAGAGTGGCAGTAGTGTAAATTTTAAATGCAGAACTATATGTTACCTTTGCTGTGTGTGTTGTATCTTATCATTTGATTATGTTTAACTTTTTTCACTGTTTTTGCAGATTAGCACAGCGTATAGTGCGTGGAGATGTTCCAGAGCCATTGATGAACAGGAAGGTTGAACTCCTACTTTCTCTCTTCACTTGATTATAAAATGATAATTTAAATTGAGTTACGTGTTTAATGTAATGTCAAGTCTCAATGCAGGCTGATTGTGTTAAGTTTTTTAAAAATGTCTAATCTAGTTGCTTTCTGGTGGTGTCATATTTTTCTGAAACCCTAAAATTAATTTTTCCCACATTGAATGTAATTAGGTTTATTTTGTTTTGTAACTTAGAAGATTGAGCACAAAACCTAGATACTTTATAATTTATAATTAGTATCCTTGTTACCTTCCACCCTACTACCTACTCACAGATAGAGAAGATCTCCTAGATATTTTAAAATACTAAGCATGCATCTTATATTGAAAACGTACATTTAAGGTGGTTCGAAAAATATAATTTGAGAATGCTGTTGCAAATTGTTGTCTCACAAGTATTTATTTTTCTTATTTGAGACTCTGGCAGTTTCCTCGATCCTCATCAAGCTTTTTCTTTGGGCTCTTAACAGATTATGAAATCATTATTGACCTTGGGAAATCTTATTGAATGGTATACATCCTTTTATTTTAATATAGGAATGTAATATTGTAATAAAGGGGGTCCTGTTGCTGTAAAGCTTCCTAATCTTCAGCATACAGAGTCTAAGGAAGAATTTAACCCACCATGGGTGTCTAAAGTAGGAAGCCTCTCTAGGGATGTATTATTTTTGTTTAAATTGGTATTAAAATTTTGCTTTCACTCTTGGTGCTTTGTAGTTGATCTCCCTTGATATGGGTTCATTGCTTGCTGGTGCCAAGTTTCGTGGAGATTTCGAAGAAAGGTTGAAAGCTGTCCTGAAAGAAGTTACAGCATCAAATGGGCAAATAATTTTGTTTATTGATGAAATACACACTGTTGTTGGTGCAGGTTGGTACATTGTTTTTGTTTTCAAGTTATAATCTCAATATTGAGAATATTGTGCACTTTTACTTGCTAAGACACAATATAGTATAACCATTCATATGCATTCACCTCATGGCTTATGCTTTCAGGATAGTTGCCTTATGATGTCATGGTATTAAATCCTCTATAACTTAGTAGTCTAGAGTTTGATCCACTCATCCCCTTTTTTCTAATAAAATAGTTTAGTTTTAGACTTCTAGCACAATTTAGGTTGCTACATCTATGTGTTGTTCACGAAGGAGTCTTGTGTGCCAGTGTGTTAGAGATGTATTATAGAATACATGTCTTCAACTAACTGCTTAAACTTTTCAGATAGTTGGTGTAGTACACTAGTCATAACAACCTACCTCCGGTCCACCCTCCCCAAGTATACGAAATGTTTGATATCTGTTTCTTGGTTATAGTCATCAATTAATGAGTATACTAATTGATCAATTCCCTTAAAGCAACCAACTGATAAAAGTAATGCAGTAAACAACTGTCTGCACTCTATAATCAATATTTTAATTAGTTAAATACCAAATGTTCTGTTTCTAAGTCTGTACATCTGCCTTTGACGATTGCCTGCACTTTTAACCAGATTGACATTCTGATTCATCAATCATGGTTCACCCTAGTTATGTTCCAGCTCTGCAATTAACTAATTATTAATATGGTGTTTTTGGTCATTTGGTTAACTAATAGGAGCTACAAGTGGTGCAATGGATGCTGGAAACTTGTTGAAGCCAATGCTTGGAAGGGGGGAACTTCGATGTATAGGAGCAACTACATTGAATGAATATAGAAAATACATTGAGAAGGATCCTGCACTTGAGCGTAGATTTCAACAAGTATTTTGCTGTCAACCATCTGTTGAAGATACAATATCCATTCTCCGAGGGTTGCGTGAGCGCTACGAATTGCATCATGGAGTCAAAATATCAGACAGTGCACTTGTTTCAGCCGCAGTCCTTGCAGATCGATACATCACGGAACGCTTCCTACCAGACAAAGGTAGGTTTTGACTAGCATTTATATGACAAGAGTTGACTTATTATAACAGTATTTTTCTGTTCACTTTACTATTTTGGATTTTTTAATTCTACTAAAATAACAAGCTTTTCATGATGCAAAGAAAAATAAATCGTCTCTTATCTCCCCCGCTCTCTTAAGCGTTCAGATCTTTGTGATTACTATGTTTTAGAAGTTAAAAGTAGTCACTTGATGCCATCAGGTTGGAAAGTTTTCTGGTTGATTTGTTGATTCTGATACGTAATTAAATTTCTTCCTTTTAGCTATTGATCTTGTCGATGAAGCTGCTGCAAAACTGAAGATGGAGATCACCTCTAAGCCTACAGAATTGGATGAGATAGATAGAGCGGTCTTGAAACTGGAGATGGAAAAACTCTCTTTGAAAAATGACACTGACAAGGCTTCTAAAGAAAGATTAAGTAAGCTTGAAAATGATTTGAGTTTACTTAAACAGAAGCAGAAAGAACTGGCAGAACAATGGGACAGTGAAAAAGTTTTAATGACTCGGATAAGATCAATCAAAGAAGAGGTAATATTTGGTTTTTGTGTCGCTATTATCATAAATACCCTCCTTCTCCCATCACCACTCAATAAATTTATGGTTCTTGTTTTAACCATGTTTAGATTGATAGAGTCAACCTAGAGATGGAAGCTGCTGAACGTGATTATGACCTGAACCGTGCTGCTGAGCTCAAATATGGAACTTTGATGTCCCTTCAGCGCCAATTAGAAGAAGCTGAAAAGAATCTAGTTGAATTCCAAAACTCTGGACAATCTTTTCTTCGTGAAGAGGTCACTGACCTTGATATTACTGAGATTGTAAGCAAATGGACTGGTATACCACTATCAAACCTCCAACAAACAGAGAGGGAAAAGTTAGTTTTGCTGGAACAAGTTCTTCATAAGAGGGTGATTGGTCAGGATATTGCTGTAAAATCTGTGGCTGATGCAATTCGCCGTTCAAGGGCTGGATTGTCTGACCCAAACAGGCCAATTGCAAGTTTTATGTTCATGGGTCCGACTGGTGTTGGCAAAACTGAGCTTGGAAAGGCTCTGGCTAATTATTTGTTTAACACAGAAAATGCTCTTGTTAGAATCGATATGAGTGAGTATATGGAGAAACACGCTGTTTCACGTTTAGTTGGGGCTCCACCTGGTTATGTTGGTTATGAAGAAGGTGGTCAGCTAACTGAAGTGGTCCGTAGAAGACCCTACTCTGTGATTCTATTTGATGAAATAGAAAAAGCACATCACGATGTCTTCAATATTTTGTTGCAATTGTTGGATGATGGGCGGATTACTGATTCTCAAGGAAGGACTGTTAGCTTCACAAATTGTGTTGTGATTATGACTTCAAACATTGGCTCCCATTACATACTTGAAACCCTTCGCAGCACACACGATGATAAAAGTGCAGTTTATGATCAGATGAAAAGGCAAGTTGTTGAGTTGGCTAGGCAAACATTCCGCCCGGAGTTTATGAATCGAATTGATGAGTATATAGTTTTCCAGCCTTTGGATTCCAATGAGATCAGCAAAATTGTGGAGCTTCAGGTAATTTCTGTGCTCATATTACCTTTATCAACCTCATTATCTTACTTCTTTCCTTTCCTTGGAGTCAGTGAAAAGAAATGATGTAAATAACTATTATCTATATAAATAAAACGTAATGCTATATAGGAAGAGTCATTTGAATAAGAAAGGCAAGAATATATACTTGTCATTGTTTTAGAAGATGATTTTAAATTTATTAGAATTTAATTTCCTTTTTAATAGAAATCATGGGGTAGTGATAATAATGAATGATTGAGATTTATTTCTTGCCTTTCTTACTCATAATTTCTTACTAATAAGCATTTTCTATAAATAAATATCTTCACAAATTTTATTATGTATTAAATTTCTTTTTATAAAGTTTTAACATTATTGGTTTTTTTCCCCTTACAGTTCAATCTCATTGTGAAACACTTCGTTTGATTCTTACTAATTACATAATATGTATGTTAATATATGTTTTTTGATCTGCTGCAGATGGAACGTGTCAAGTACAGGCTGAAACAGAAGAACATTGATCTTCATTACACACAAGAAGCTGTTAATCTTCTTGGTGTATTGGGTTTTGATCCTAATTTTGGGGCAAGACCAGTTAAAAGAGTAATACAACAATTGGTAGAAAATGAAATTGCTATGGGAGTTTTAAGGGGAGATTTCAGCGAAGAGGACTCAATCATTGTTGATGCTGAAGAAACTTCATCAGGCAAGGAACTCTCTTCCATAAAGAGGCTGATTATTAAGAAGCAGGATAGCCTTGTTGCTGATGCAATGGTTGCCAATGATTAATGTCTTATATTTCACCTTCGATTATAGTATAAAAGTAGGTTCTTATCGTTAGGAATTTGGCAATCAGTAACTGATCAATAGCTCAACACCCTCTTTTTCTGTTTTAAAATTTTCATGAATTAAAATTAGTTTTTGTTGAGATTTAAATTATTTTAAAAATAAAATCAGTTTTGAATCATGAAATTTTAAAATCAAAATAATTTTTAAACAAAAAAAAAAAGTCAGAAATCTGTTGGTATAAAGTTTTACACTAAATTTCAACTTTTAATAGGATTGAATTAAACAATCATATTAAATGAAATAAAAAAAAAAAAACAAAAATATATGTCCATTTTTTTCCTTAAAAAATAAGTAATTTTTTTCCTAAAAAATAAACTATTTATATGACTAAATAAACGGTTGAAGTTGAAATTTAATGTAAGACTTTTAGAGTTACCTTTGGTATTATAAATATTTATAAGAAAAATGTACTTTAATAAAATAGTTCATGTTATTAAGCATTTAAATAACTAAAATACAATTAAAAGATGTATACTGCTAGTCAAGAGTTTAATCTCTAATAAAGATTTTCTTGTTACAAATATATAATATAATTGTTCAATAGTAATTTTAATAACAATGTTTAAAAGTGGTGGTGGTTGTTGGTGGATGTATATCCGGAGTGGTGATTGTTGATTGTTGATTGACACAATGGTGGTAGTTATACGTGTTAGAGTGGTGATTAGAGGGTAATTGGTAATGGTGACTTGTAGTTAAATTGGTGATTAGGGTGATAGTTATATGTGTTAGAGTAGTGATTAGAGGGTAATCACTGATGGTGACTCGTTGTTAAATTGGTGATTAGTGGTAGTCATAACAATGATTGATGATGATTATAATTGTGATCAATGTTTACTAAAGTGGTGGTCAAATTAGTGATCATAATTGGATAAAGAGGTGATCAAAAGTGCTTGGAGGTGATCGAAATGGTGATTGAAGGTGGTTGACGATAATCATAGGTGATCCAAATATTTGGTGTATGATGGTCATGATGATTAGCAGTGATGATTAGCGTTGGTTGAAATGATGATCAATAGTGGTCAAAATGATTGAAGTAGTGGTAAATGATTAATTCATTACATTCCATTCTATCTAATCTTTTTTTTTTTCTATTCAATTTTGAGTGTATGTAATAGAATGTGATATTTTTTAATAAAATAGTTAAACAATAAAGTGATCCGTTACATTTCAATATTTTATTTTGTTTCTCTTAGTTATATTCCATCAATTCAAACACACTGTATGAAATCGAAGAAAAAATATATATTTTAAACTAGAGCATTAAGAATATGCGTGGTAGATGGATTATCCAATGTTGCATGTTAGGTTCTAACAGAATAAAGTAGAATTAAGGCAAAGAATAAAGACTGACAGAAAGTGAGGACTGTTTAATTATATGATTGCAAAGGGAATTTACAGAAGATTCAGTGATCTAACTGCCACAGAGCTATACTTCTATGGAGTGCTTAACAGCCCCCCATCCAATGATTACTCTATGATTCTCTAAGGTGAGATCCCCATTCCCTTCCCCCCATCATTTATGGATACAGTCTAACGGTATTGCTAGGACCACTATTCTCTCTCTTCCACCTCACATCTATCACGTGGTGTGAGATCTCCTTTTTCTTCTAGAATAAACCTGCCACGTCTTAGCATTCTTAGGCCCAATATGATTGGTCATTTCAATATCTGGCCCATCTTTCTTCTCTTGGTCCCTAACAATACCCCCTTCTAGAAAAACTACCTTGTCCTCAAGGTTAAATTCAGGGAATTGATTTGTTATGGTTTCCATGTCTTCCCAAGTAGCTTTGTCCACAGTTCTGTTAGTCCACTTAATTAAAACTTGTTTAACTCTCTGTTTTCCTAACCCATTGAAACGTGTGGCTTAACACTCCTTCAGGCAAAAACTGCTCCACACAATTCCCTTCAGCTTCTTGGGGCAATTCACTCTCTACTGCATAGTCTCCAATTGCCCTTTTTAACAACGAGACGTGAAAAACTGGATGTATCCGTGATCCATTCAGTAATTTAAGCTTATATGCCACCGCTCCAATTCTGTCCACAATCTGAAACGGACCAGAATATCGAGCTGCCAATTTCGCATTAATCTTAGAGACTACGGATTGCTGCCGGTGTGGACGAAGCTTCAAAAACACCCATTCTCCAACAGTAAAATTGGACTTTGTCCTCTTCTTATCTGCAAAATGCTTCATGCGGTCTTGAGCTCTTTGGAGATGAGCTCTAAGCTGCTTGAGTGCTTTATCTCGTTCTTCCAACTTTTTTTGAACTGCAGCCACTCTTGTTTCACCTTGCAAGAGTCTTGTAATGATTGGAGGTTTCCTTCCATAGACTAACTCAAAAGGTGTGCTCCCTGTAGACGCATGAAATGTTGTGTTAAACCAGAATTCGGCCCATGGAATCCAAGATAGCCAAGATTTTGGTTGGTCCGCAATAAAATATATCAAATAAATTTCCAAACATCGATTGACAACTTCCGTTTGGCCATCTGTTTCCGGGTGATAAGATGAACTCATCTTCAAAGTAGTACCCTGCAGCCTGAAAAGTTCAGTCCAAAAATTACTAATGAACAAAGGATCACGGTCACTAACAATTGTTGTAGGTAAACCATGAAGTCGTATAACTTCTCTTGCAAAAACTTCAGCTATTGTTCTTGTTGTATAAGGTCTCTTGAGGGGGATGAAGTGACAATATTTTGACAGTCTATCAACTACCACAAACACCACTTCAAACCCACGAGATTTTGGCAATCCTGTTATAAAATCCATTGAGACCTCTTCCCATACTGCTGACGGAATGTGCAGAGGTTGTAATAAACCCCCAGGTGCGGCAGCTAAGTACTTTTGTCGTTGACACACATCGCAAGCCTTCACATAAGCTTGCACCTTTGCTTTCATTCCTATCCAATATACATTAGCAGCTAGACGTCTGTAGGTACGATAAAACCCGGAATGCCCACCTTCCGGAGTAACATGAAATTCACCCAACATCTTAGGAATTAACGAAGATTGTGCGGACAACACTAAACGCCCCTCATAGAATAGCACTTCCTGTTTGTACTTAAATCCTGGCCTTGAATCTGGTTTCTCCTCCAAGTCCTCTATGATTTTTAGCAAAACTTTATCCTGGTGGATTTCTTCCTGTATCACTTTGACTTCCTCCCATATTGGGTACGAAACCATAGACGATAATTCACCTTCGGATAACCTTGAAAGAGCATCAGCTCCTCTATTTTCCACTCCCGATTTATATACTATATCAAACTGATAACCGAGCAATTTAGCGGCCCAATTCTGCTGATCCGGAGTCGTGATCCTCTGCTGCCATAACTGTTTCAAACTCTTTTGATCTGTTGTCACAATGAAATGTCCGCCCAACAAATAAGGACGCCAATGTTGCACCACTAAATCTACTGCCATTAACTCCCTTTCATATGCAGATTTAGCCAAATTCTTTCCTCCTAAAGCCTTGCTAAAGAAAGCAATGGGCTTTCTCTCTTGCATTAAGATTGCACCTAAACCCACTTCGGAGGCATCACATTCTACTGTGAACTCTTTTTTAAAATCAGGCAATGTGAGTACTGGGGCTGTTGTCAACTTCTCTTTTAATATTTCAAAAGCCTTTTGAGCTTGAGGCCCCCATTTGAACCCCTCCTTCTTCGTCAATTCCGTTAATGGTTTGGCAATCTTCCCATAATCTTTAATAAACTTGCGATAGTAGCCCGTAAGGCCTAGAAATCCCCTCACCCTTTAGCATTCTTAGGTATAGGCCATTGAATGACACTTTGCACCTTCGTGGGATCTACTGCTACACCATTTCCCGTGATCAAATGACCGAGATACTCAATAGTTTTCTGGCCAAATTGACACTTTTTTCTATTCGCAACCAGTTTGTGTCTCCTCAAAATCTGCAACACTTCGGTTACTTCTAGGATATGCGCCTGCCACGATTTACTGTAAATGAGTATGTCGTCAAAAAATACTAATACAAACTTCCTCAATAAGGGCCTGAACACCTCGTTCATCAAGGATTGGAATGTGGACGGAGCATTCATCAATCCAAACGGCATCACAAGGAATTCATAATGGCCGTCATGAGTACGGAAAGCCATCTTATGGATATCCTCCTGTTTCACCCTCACTTGATGATACCCGGACTTCAAATCCAGCTTGGTAAAATATTGAGCTCCATGAAACTCATCGAGTAACTCATCTATCACCGGTATCGGAAACTTGTCAGGCACGGTGACCTTGTTAAGAGCACGGTAATCAATACACATTCGCCATGTCCCGTCCTTCTTCTTCACCAGTATAACGGGACTCGAAAAAGCGTTGCAGCTGTGTTGCACAATTCCCATTTCTAACATCTCTTTAATCTGTTTCTCTATTTCATTTTTCTGGTGGTGTGGGTACCTGTACGGTCTGACATTAACTGCGCCTTGTCCTGACATTAAATTGATCGCATGGTCTCGGGAGCGACGTGGAGGAAGACCCTTAGGTTCTTGGAACACATCATCAAATGACTTTAATACTCCCTGCATATCATATCGCACTACCAAGGTTTCTGCTTGCCTTACAGTGTTGCTAACTGTTGCATCTAGGGACCATCCATTCATGCAATACCCTTTTCCAACCTTCCCTAAGATGCTTTACAATGCTGGGATTGCTGCAGGCGTACCTTCTATTCCCCTCAACATTACCCACTTCCCATCATGCCAAAACTCCATTGTTTGCTTCTTCCAATTAACTATCATATCTCCCAAAGATTTCAACCATGCCATACCAACAACCACGTCCACTCCAACTAAATCAAACAAATACGCCTCGATTTCGCAAGTAACCTCCCCAGTTTTGAATAAAACTTGCTTACATTTTCCTCTGGTAATGGTTTGGAACCCATCACCTAACTTGATTCTCAAATCTGGAGTGGTCTCTACTTGCCAT